AAAAAAAAAAAAAAAAAAAAAAAAAAAAAAAAAAAAAAAAAAAAAAAAAAAAAAAAAAAAAAAAAAAAAAAAAAAAAAAAAAAAAAAAAAAAACAAAAAAAAAAAAAAAAAAAAAAAAAAAAAAAAAGCCGTTGTAACTATACTTGAGACCTTAGAACTTATATGTCAAGGTGGGTGGCGCATTTACGTTGTGTATGTCCATGGGCTCCAGTAACCACTTCACACCAGGTGGGCTGTGAGCTCGTCCACCCATCTAAGCAATAAAAAAAAAATACAAGTATACATTGATTCTTCCCAATGCATTAACGGTGCTTTTAGGTACCTCAAGCACCGGACACCGTCCTCGCCGAACCCGTCGCTTGCGACGAAGGGCTCGACGTGTAAATTAACCCATAAACACAGCCCACTGAGTTTCTCGCTGGATCTTCTCAGTGGGTCGCGTTTCAGTGTTAGCAACACTCCGGTTTAAGCCCAGCGAGCTTACATACACGTCAAGGAGAATTTGAAATAGCCTCTCAAGGCTATCAGCATAGGTAGGGAAAAAAGTACATTAATTAGATGCCATGGTTTTGCTACAAGAATAGGTCTGTAGAATAGGAAGAACAACTTTTGTATAATGTGTTTAAAGAGAAGTTGTCGAAGATGATACATTAATCTTGATTTCCATATCGTACCGTCCGGCGCAAAATTCATCCTAACAATTTGGAACGTTTCGTCCTGTGAATTTTCAGAAAACCTTTTCGTCACATACCTACTACCCGTCTTTGGAATGGCGCATCGGTATGCTCGACTGCCTACAAGGGCGATTACAAAAATGCTCCTAGATACGACTTGCTAGAAGGGGCTGACTTTTCATTGAGATAGTTTATATTTATTATCAGTATTGGAGTGCATTTTAGTTTTTTAATGGAACAAGTAATTATATTCTCAAATTATTCCCACCGACTTCACTTGTGAGGTCAAAAGATCCTACAATGCTATTCACGAGACCCTACCGGAACGACCACGGTCTCTGCTAGTACAAGTAAGATTGATTATAAGCCTGCACAGATGGGTACCATCCTCCTATCTATTCATACCGCGATGCATTCGTGTGTTCAGCCTGAAGGAGCCTTGTTATAACAATACTCGATAAGATTCTTAATTTTGAACAGTTTTGAATTTAGAGTTTACTCTTGTGCCGCCTCTTTGGAATCTAACGAATCTTCCCTGAAAGAATAGGATTTTCAAATATAGATTACCAAAGAACGTAATTTCGAATTTGGAACTAACACATCCTTTTTACGCGGAACACCTAAAATTAATCTGAACTTAAATCCGCTTGTTTCACCTGTCGCATCATACCCAATTTTTTTAATGCCCTTTTAGGCAGACAAGCATACGGCCCACCTGATGGTGAGTGGTTACCATCGTACCATGGACTTCAATGCCAGGGGCAGAACCAAGCCGCTGCCTACTAGCTAGGAACAGCTACAGCTATTTTTTTACTTTTACTTTACGTTACTTATATTAATATTGTGAGTGCTCGCCTTCAGTTCACCGCTGAAAAGAAGATAAGGACTTGGACAACATCAGCTAATTCACAAGTATTTTATTCTCTGACTCATTCACTATGTTTTTCATCTTCACCTAGCCCCCAAAATATCCCTAAAGCCTGCTTGCCTCGCATCGCTGAATTCTGAACCCCTTTCCTACTGCATACACGGTATTCATGTCATGATGTAGGTACATATATGTGCACTCGTAAACTTTTAACCCCAGGCGAGCTCGAGCTAATTTGCGCTCCTAGAGATATAAAACATAAAAATATCATTGCGGAATTTTATTAAATAGTGAGTACCCACCTTATTAAACAGTTATTAAATAATTATACAAACTATCATTCAGATCAACGTTAACGTTATAAGCGACAGACTCTTAGATTCTAAAACGAACATAAGAAGCCTTAAATCTGTTTTCATTGGTAACAAAGAAACAAGGGCTTACAGTTGACGACGACGCTGCCACGTTCGATTTATTGGTGCATTGTTCAAAATTTCCCTCTTGGCTGTGGAGACAGCCAGACGCGCACCTGTCTAGCGGACGCAATCGTTACCACGTCGGTCTGCATCGGGGAGCATGCGCAAACCGAGCGATCTAATGTTCGACCAAGTTCAGTGGGAAGTGAGGAGGAACGACGCTGCACGGTGTTCGCGAATGGTCGCATAGCTGACGCCGCACCGCCCGCACCCACAGTCCTCCCGCCGCGCCGGCTCTGTGCGCTACACACGAACAGCATTATGGTGAGTCATTACTAAAGTGCGAAACTATTCAATTATGACGACCTTTACGTTTGACTGCAAACTGTGTTAAAATGAACTGCTTCATAATAATATACATAAAACTTCAATTGAAACGTGAAATCAGGACTGACCTTGACGCCTCAGAACAGCCGACAAACCAAAATGCGCTAACCTAATTATGTCGTAAATTGCAAGTTATGATAGAAAACAAGAATAATGCGTATCTTTAACGAAGGTCAACTACCTAAAACCTAACAAGCAGTTGATCATTTAAATCTTTCAGGTAATGGATAACCGCACGAGTTATGATTCTGAAAACGAACAGAACTCATCGATTTTCGTAACAAACTTTCAAAATGGAGACAGCGTTAACTATTCTGTTGTTCTTCTTAAAGGAATAATAACACGTTTAAACTGTAATACCCAAGAAAAGTTAATCTGTTCAATCACAAACAACGGGACACAAAGTAAAACGCAATGGGATGTCCATAATGGAGAGTTTAAGGCAATAATTGAATTAAAACATGGAGAAAATGTGATTGAACTTGAATACACAGAACAACAACGCCGGAAATTTATTTTAGATTACACACCGAGAAAAACGAATCTAAGGGTAACACCTGTCTACATTATTTGCCAAGGCCATGACGGTTGTTTTCAAAGTCCATCCGATATTGACAACTCTGTAGAGAGTGCATGTTTACGTATATCTCTTGGCTGTAAACTAATACAAAGTTTAACAGCTGAAAAATTGTTTGAAAGTGGCAATGGCCGAAAAACATTTCAACTCGAAAACGAAGTCAACCCAAGGAAACCAGAATGCATAATATTCAAGAGTACGCTAAATGTGAACAAAGCTAGAAAAATGAAACAAGCTGAATTATGGTCTCACTTTGGTAGAGAGCTCATGCTTTCTGATTTAGGAAGCAATGAGAGGAAATTTATAGGTTTTATATCTTGCACAAGGTATAAAGGAACTGATCTCGACAAGCCTATGACACATGAAGAGACAGTTTCTATGACTGAAGCTTACGCGGCTTTGGGTGGTGGAGGATTGGCTTTATTTGGAACAGCATGCTTATACACTTGGCCTACAACGATTGATGAAATAATTCCAAACTTTATGAATTCAACACCCGTAAATCCAAAGAGGTTCATGGACGATAGTGGTTATCGTGGAACACTCGGAGGCTGCTTTGCAACAACTTTGGGATCTGTATTTCACGAACTTGGACATACTTTTGATCTTGGACACACTAAAGATGGGATAATGGGCAGAGGTTTTGATAATTTAGACAGAGTATTCATTGTTGGAGAAAAAAGATCATCGTTGCTAAAAGATAGTATGAATAATTTTAATGGAAAACCAGTACAACATTCGACCGTTTCTCTTCAACGTAACATAAATGTAACTATGAATGTGGCAGAGCCGTTGAGAGTGTTAGGGCCAAGAAGTAAAACGACCTTAGGAAACTTTGCATCAATGTCAAAATCAGATATTGTAAGGAGAAGTCCAAATATCACTCCAATAACAAGACCATCAAGTGTATACTCAAGTATTACAAACAAATTAACAGAATCTAAGAAAAATATAAACCGCAATCATAGCAATGATTCCATATATTGGACCAGAAACTGCGCAGTATTCCTGTCTTATCATAGATGGTTCAATAATGAATACGGCAGAGAGAGACAAGCAATTACTAGATATCTAAAATTTGACAAAAACAAAATGATGATTATCTCTACTGCGGGTATCAGGATAGTTGAAGTCAGAGATGATTCTAATGGAATGGTTTTAGATTCTTATGAATTTACTAACCTCCTACCAGAAAAAAGGTTTTTGGTTCCATTCACGTTTTCCCCTAAAACAAAAGTTTTGACAATAGTTGTTGAAGATGACTTAGGAAATGTGTTAAAACAAACGTTTTCATACTAGATCGAACAACACAAATTTTCCTATTGACAATAAGGTGAGCAAATCAGAAGGATAAATAGTATCAACAGATTTGAACGAAACCAAACGTGAAGAGAAACAGAAGCCAAAATTACATACACTTAAGTAGATTATTTTTAAATTTTAACGAAATTGGAAGCACTAAAATTATCATGGCAACATTGTTCAAACCTCTGCATTTTGTTCCATGACATCTAGAAACTGACACTGACACATTCTTATCAAAATGACATTTTTGTGTACCTACTTACAATTTAATTTTAGGAACTTTATCATGTTTTTTGTAAATATCACGATAACGAGATAAGTTTTGTAAATGTGTAATAAATTAATTGTAATTATAAAATCCTTGTAAATAATATATTTAAGATAACTGCTAATAAGTATTTACAATGGCTAGCTCCACACAACACACAATAGTTTGTTTTGAAGATGTGAAGTCTTTCCCGCCTGTTGTAAATGGAAAAATAAATTTGGTGAGCTTCTTGGAAGCTGCAACGGATTTGGTCTACCTTGTTGGTATGTTTAACATCCATTTTTACTAGTTCGTTTCCTGTGCGAAATGTTTTTTTTACAAGAGTAAGTTTTTCAGGGAAGATTTCTGAAATAATTCCATTAGAGCGCCACTGCAAGTCATTAAATGGGTATATTTCGTCAATTTAGAAGAAATCAAAGTCCATTCACAACTATCTTTTATTATCATTTTACATAAACTAGTCAAACCATCACTTATTCAGGTTAAAAACATAAAAACCAAATTAAATTCCACATTTTATTTTGTTGACCAATTTATATCGAATGTTACAGAACGCCTTGGCACAGCTTTTGCACCTGTAAAATTTGATATGCAAGGAAATATTGATGTGAGTTCCACTTTTTTTCAATATTTGTAAACAAAGTATAATTTGGCTGAATTTTAGTTGAAGCTTTATTACTTTCATTTTTCTAAATATTTTTATATAAGATTGGTCTTCTAAGTTTTTCTTTGGGTATCCTTTTCTCTAAACCTCGATAAGACCTTACTTAGGTCATGCACTATAGGCCATAAGGCTGTTGAATTTCTTTGTTGATTTGATATTAATAGTTAGCTTATGCTCTTTGACTTTTTGAATTTTTTTGTGAATAAGTATATTAAACAATGGACATTGAAAAAACCAATTAAAAAACTTACTGGAGTTATTTTTTTAATTTAAAATTATTTGAATGTCTTTGCTTTTCAAGATGTCATCAGTGGCATAAAGAAAGCAAAACCATTTTATTTCAGAATTGTTCTCAAGTAATTCTAGTATCTCAGATACTCTCAGATGAGGCTCCCTCCTTATGTCTTTGTCATTCTCTGACCCAGTATAAAACCCTGTTACCTATCTTCTGACTCCTGTTCAGTGGTTTCTGAAATACCTTAAGGTCCATACAATTGGTTTCTTTTAAATTAACAACATATGAATGTTTTATTTTTCAGAGAATAAAAAAAAATTACAAATTTGATGAAAATTCCTGTTTACTGATGTTAATGCTTGAAGAAATTAATAATGGTAAAGCTCCTGTTACTGAAGGAGTTTTATGGCTTAACAGGTATGATAACAAGGTTTGAAATCAGTAATGGGTAATGTTATTTATAAATAATATTCAATATAGTTAACCATTTTTACCTGAATAGAACCCCTTATTTCAATTCTAACACAGAAACTATATCTTTTATCACATATATTTCATTTCACACACAAGTCTGTTTGATGTTTCATAATACATAATGTATTTCTTTAAAATAGAAAACTATGACTTTTTATGATGATTTTGGATGGTAATTGTCTAATTCATATATTTTCTTATGTGTACAACTTGGTTTTTTTATTTATTTCTATAGTATAACAGTATATTTATTTTATGTACACATTTAATTTAAAGCTAATATTTAATTTGAAATTTTGGCCTTGAGGAACTCTTAACTTTTTTATCACTACACCCCCAGCCACAGGAGCCTCACATAGAGTTCATCCTTACTCTTTGTAACTTCTGCATTGATCCAGAGTGCGTTTCCAGAGAACCTTTTTTTGCCAGGAACCATCCAGCTCTGGAATGAACTGCCTTACATGGTGTTTCCTGAGTCCCTAGACATGTCCTTCGGCAAACGAGATTTGTAGAGTTCTCGGCAATAGTCAGCAACTTGGCTGAATCCTTGGCATTGTTAATGTCTATGAGAGACAGTGACCACTACTTACCTCAGATGGGCTTTATTTTTGTCTGCATATGAAGATAAAATGAAAACACAAATTAATTATATATTATTGCAAAATGTTTTGTTTCAGAGCTCTGCTGTTTTTCGAATTAGTATTTGTAGATATACTAGAAAATTTACAGGCAAAAAAGGAGATAAATATGAAATATGTATTCACCAAAGCATATGAAGGTTCTGTAAAGAAGTATCACAGTTGGGTCACACAACAATTATTTATAGTAAGTCTATTATTTTGATGTGAAATGGCTATACAAATAAAACCGATTGCTTGCGTGGCAACGCATCGCCTTAAATGAATATACATGTATACTATATACATGTATAAACATACATACATAATATATATCAGTCTAGAGATGTTCGATGTGGGAAAAATATCGATTATGGCATCAATAATGACATCGGTAGCAGGATATCAATGTTTTTTGCAAATATTGATCAATTAATAAAACAACCATAAAATCACAACGTTTTTATAATTCAACAAAATTAAAAATAAATTAAAGATATCAGGGCATAGGTACATGTTATAAGTTCCAATACTTTTTGTTAATTGACTAAAAATAATAACTTGAAGTACATGTTATAAGTTCCAATACTTTTTGTTAATTGACTAAAAATAATAACTTGAAGTTCAGAACCTATCAACCTATTGTGCTGTTGATATAGGGTTGACCAGCCAACAGAATTTCGATATCGATATCGATGTCCGTGACATCGATGTTACGATGTTTTTTGTTTTAATATCGATGACCATCGAGCATCCCTATATCAGTCTATACATAGTAGTCTGTGTCTGTATACCATGTGGCGAAGCATCGCCATGCGCAAGCCACTTTTTCTTAATATTTATATTTTATTTTTCACTATGCCTCATTAATTTCCTTTCGTAAACTATCCTTTTATCCATCTATAGCTGTACAAAATAATATCAATATTTCACATTTGCCAACCTTCCTGCAATGACTTTTTTTAAGTAAACTATAATAATAAATTACACCACATTCAAGGCGTAAATTGAAAAACATTTGAAAAATAAAATTCTAATTAAAGTCAATATTTTGTATTTCCATTTCAGTTCATCTGCAAGATGTCACCAACTTTTGCACAAATGATCAAATCTTTTGGAGTTGATGGTGATATCAAAAGTTTCGAGACAAAATTGGCGAGTTTCAATATCACATTGCACTTAAATCGCTGCAAGATAGACGACTTTTTTAAAGACAACAACTTATTTAGTGATACAGCTTAACCAACATTAAAATCTACTAACTGAAACCAAAAATAAATTATAGGATATTTTAAAGTACGTTAACGAGATATATTATACATATGATAATAAAAAAAGTTCAAGCACCACAGTTACAATGATTCAATGGTTTGTAAGGTTTGATAGAAGTTAAATTATGTGCTAGCATTAAAACTATAAATATATCTTAAAAAAATGAACATGAATAAGTGAAAAAAAGCTACAGAATTAGAGACACAGCAGAGGCATGAAGAGGTTTAATCACTTTTAAAAAGTAGTTTTAGATAATTGAATATTGACTTATTGGTTGTAACAGAATTTGCTAAAAGCAAAAAGTCAGGGCGCTAAAATATACTTTTTACAGGAAAGGCAAAATAATGTGTAACCGAACGTAGATTCGAATACACCTAGCTTTTGAATTCCAAATAATTTAACAAATAAAGTCCCTGCATTAGATGCAGCCAATTCCCTTTGTTACTCCACAGCTACTGAGAGCACTTGATTGCGAATTTCTTGCTCTGATAACCTTTGTTTAGAATTAGAAGAATTGAGACCTGAGTGAGCTGATCATTCATAGTTGGAAAGGGGATTTAGGTAAATGTTAATCGGAATCGGAGAAAAAAATCTTTATGTGGACAAATTTTAATAAAACTCCTGCAATTCAAGCTGCCTTATAAGTAAGTACTTTGACACTGAAAGATTAAGACGATGTCTTACGGTTTACTATGGCAACATTTCAAAGGAGGAGTTAAATGCAGTCTTCATCACAAATACTGAGATATAGAACAAAATTTCCTTTAAAAATTTGATTCGTGGAAAGTTCTAAAAAATAACATGTACTAGTCAGATTGTTTCAAAATGAATTTGAACCTTTACATTTAAACACTGTACTTTGTAGATCCAATCAACTGTGTCAAAATTATATCATTTTTCCCTTGAAGTTTTCCCAGTGTTTCTACAAATAAAAACCAGTGCCTTGAAGAGTTTAATGGCAAATACAAATATTTAAATATGAATGTTGAAAACCATTTTAATGAAATCTTATATATTTTGATACCAATAATAAATTTAATAAATATGAGTCAGAGAATTGATTTACTTTTATATGAACGGAGAAGTTTTCTGTATTCCATTTTGTTTGAAGTAGTTATTTAAGAAAAAGTGCAATCATTATTTTAAAGTTATGACTAATATTTTTTGTGTGCTTGACGCTATTTTTTAAAGTTGAATGTAATTTATGACAGTATTGTTTAAAAAAAACTTAATTTACTTTTGTAATTAACTATTATATAACAAGCTATGTTAAATAATTATGTTTATTATGCCAAAGCTTTGCTAAATACAGCAATTTTTATTAAATATCTTAAGATATGGTTCCAGCATCAAATGTATTATGACAATAAAGTCTTTTCATTTAAAGTATGTTTCATTTAAAAAACCTTTGGTCATTATGCCATTCAACTTGATCTATATGCCATAATGACTGATCTTTTTTGTCATGGTTAAAATTGGCATGAACGCACATTCATCCTGGTTTTAAGTGGTTATTGTAAGTATATCAACCACATATTAAATGAGAGTGCTTTGAAGATTGAATTTTCATTGCATTGATACAACAGCTGTTCTATCTGTTCAAAAGAGTACATGCAGGAGTAGTTATCATACCCATCAGTGCCCTAAAGCATGAATTAGGCTATTAGAGAAAAAAAAAAATATTTTTATTTTTATTAAGCATATGGCATGACCCACCTGATGGGCATAAGTAGCCTCTATCACTCATGGACATCAGCAATGACAGGGAAAACAAAGTTGCTGCCTATGTTTTGTTTGTTTTAAAAACTCAACCCATTAAGGTTTATTTTCTAATTTTAATAAATGAAAAATGTATACTGCGTTTACCTTCGTTTCAAATTAAGAAATCTAAAGTTATGAAATATATAGATATCCTAAGTCTCTTTGCAAAAGAAATTTGATTTTCGATAAAAAAAGGACATAACAAAAAATGCTTTTTCACATTGACAATGCTATTATTTAATGTTTTGTATTTATCATACCATGATTAGTGCTCATACTAATTACAGTCTGATACTATATAAATTATGCTCCATTCTACCATAATATTACTACAATATTATCTTATAATTTTACTACTCTACTAACTCACTGATTCTGAGTTGTGGACAGGTAAATGCTTTTAGCTAGAGAAGAAGCTTGTTTTAATGCTCTAAACCCGTACACAATCTCAATAATAGTAGTCATCCAAAACATAGCATGCAGCGTTAGTTCTGTTGGTGTGCTCAGCAAATATGGATGAAAAAGGAAGAAGCTAACTAGTGGCATTTGCATTAAAATTGTCAACATGAGGAATACAGCTAATTCTGGAACCTAAAAAAAAATAGTATATTACAAATTATTATTTTTAAGCAATTTTCTTCCTATTACATTCAGTTATTTATACTATTGTTTTTGTAAATCTCTGCCACTAAGGCATTAATTAATATTCAAAGACTTAATGTTAGACTGGCAAATGACTTTATTTTGTCGGCTTAATTAGTAGTAATAACTATGGCTAATTACTTACTCTGCAAGACAAATTTCCATATCTACCAAGGTACAATCGTACAATTTCTATTCCAGATAGTAGCAAAAAAACTGTAGCTGATAAGTATTTTGTCAGGTGGCTAAGTTTATCAAACTGCAAAAATAATTTTTAAAACACTTAATTGTTTATATTTTTACACAATTAACAAACTGCATAATTTTTTGTTTGGAAAGTTACTTCAGTTTAGTTACTTTCTTCCTCACTTTTTGAAAAATAGTAACGTGTTATTATTTTATCACCAGATCTGAATTAAAGAAATGCCATTGTATTGCTGATACATCACTGTCAGCAAATTAATTTAAGTCCTATGAGATCAGGGAGCACCAAATCCTACATATATGATCTCGTATTACGTTTCCTATTCATAATAAATAGGATAATTACTAAGTACAGTGAACACAGCATAAATTTTAAAGTATACCTTCATAAACAAGAAAAACCCTGTCACAAAACACCAGAGAACAAATAGATTTATTTTAAAGTACAGACATTTCTGCAAACGTAGCATAGTTTTATACTCCATTGAATTGTTTATATGTACAAAAGTATAAATCATTAATTTTTAGTCAAAGTTTATTTTATTACTTATCCGCATAGGATTTATTGAACTTTAACAAAATGCCGTTTATTCATTTATTACTTTATCAGCTTTACTCTTTGATATTGTTTTGTTTTGCACATTTTACAGTTTGTTTGCGTTTTTTTAATTCGTTCACTGGATACGCCCATTAAACAAAAATTGAAATAAAGGCTTATGTATATAAAATGTAAAATGAAACGAAATAAAATGAAAACGTCATTACTTTACATGTTTTTATTTTTATATTGCCTTAGTAGGCCAACGAGCATATAGCTCACCTGATGATAAGTGGTTACCGTCGCTCATGAACGTCAGCAATGCCAGGGGCATAGCCAAGTCGCTATCAATCATTGAATAGGTAGGTGCTCCTCCAGGCCGCGTTTAATGAAGGACATAATAATATCATAGCGCTCGAGAAACACCGTGGAGGAGAGTTCATTCTAGAGCCGGGTGGTACACGGCTGAATGATCTCTGGAAACGCACTATCGATGAACACAGCGGTTCCAGATTGTATGGATGAAATCTGCTCCGGCGGCGGGAAGAATTTATTTTTGGAGTTTACTCCTTTAGAATCGATTTACATATATAGGCCCGGGGTATGAAAATTATGGGGACCAAAATCGTACTAGCATGTCACACGAAATGCGTTATGCGCCTGATTGGCTCCTGATTGCGTGATGCGTGCGCGCGCCAATCAGGAGCCAACGCGCGGCCGCGTTATCGCAGGTGACGCCGGGCTGCTGCGCCGGCAGTCCGCCACAAAGCCTCGTACTGATCGCGCGTTTCTCTCATTATTGTATTTTCATATATTTGTTAGTCGTTTGTTTTGTGTCTCGTTAATTTGTTAATAATCTGTAGTGTATCGTGTTGTCGTAATATAGAACTATTTCTCGTATTGTTTCGTTTAATTTTTTATATCCAGTAAACTCCAGTCGTGCGTCGGAGCGGACACACACACTTTTTTTTATTGCTTAAATGGGGGGACAAGCTCATGGCCCACCTGTTGTTAAGTGGTTACCAGAGCGAATAGACAACTGCTAAGTAAATGCCGCCACCCACATCGAGACTTCTAGCTTCTTAGAGCACTTCCCATGGTACGGCATACGGTACAAAATAGAGAGATCACCGAAGACCTTCCCTCGACCCAGAGGTTCCCAGCGATCCGTGAAAACGAGATTATCGACAATCTGAGTGGTCTGTCTTTGTATGGAATCAAATGGTACCTACTACCTGGTAGCCCTGGCCCAGTGATGGGCCTCACGTACTCCACGTGAAGCTGGACTTGTGCTTTGTAAAGCACAAGTCCAGGCGTGAAATAACGCTTCGCCCTGTTGAGGACTTCGAACATTTTAGAGGCTAATTTGGCTTTATCTTCCAAATGACTCCAATATCGTACACCGCTCGAAATATCGAACCTAAGAATACACTCGCAGAAAGCTGCAGGCAGGGATACTCAGAGAATATACGAAAGGTGTAAGGATGTATGGCGTGACACCTTCGCCTTTCCAGTTGGAAAAATGGAACTACTAATAATACTACCTGACAGATAACCTGAAAAATAACAAAGTTTCAAAAACAGTTTTTATAACCAAAGTATTACAAATTATTATGTATTAAGTATTGCAAAATATATTAAACTCCTTAACTAATCTAATTAAAAATAATCTGAAATTTAGTTGACTCCAGTTAAACTGGTTTTAAATAGATGTGATCAGGTTACTAAGTACTTGTCAGATTTTTATTCATAGTATTTCATTAAAAAAGATGTTCTACAGACCCTTTCGTAGCTGTTTCGGTAAGGATTTAAAATAAAACTACGAAAAATTTTAAATTAAGAAACTTACTTTAAATGTTTTTTTTTTATTGCCCTTGTACGCAGACGAGCATGCGGCCCACCTGATGGTGAGTGGTTACCGTCGCCCATGGACTTCAGCAATGCCAGGGGCAGAGCCAAGCTGCTGCCTACCGTTAAAATGTAGCTTTAAAACGCGGTTTCACTCGCGTTAATATAGAAACTATAGTCCAGAATTATTTTTTTAATGAAAGGAAACTTTATTATTATTTTATATATACGTGACACTGAAAATTGTAATATCGGTTCAGTAGTTAACGTATGTACGCGTCACAACGACTTTCACATAGACGATAATAAACTAATGATAGAAATTTCTGTTATAGGTTTATTACAAGCTGAAAAAGCTCAGCTAACTCTAGTTGCAGGTTTAAAATATTTTCCTCCGCCAAAAAATTATGACCGTAAGTTAACACCGTTTATTTCACTAGTCTAGTTTAAGTACTTCTTCATTATTGAATATACCTATAGTAAATAACATACTAACAAAAAAACAAAAAACCCTTTCTTCTGTTGTTGTCATTTTATCAGTATTAAATTCAAATTTCATAAGGGTTTCATTGCAATGTTGAGTGTTTCTTGCAGCTATACCAAGTGGGTTCTCATCTGCATTAGAGCTACGGTTTTATGTGTTGAGGTGTGACTTTCTAATCAAGTGTTGTATGTGTGTGGCTATCTCATCAATCTCCATACAAAACTTGCATAGAAGACTATCTCTAATAACTTTTGTGAATAAGCATTATATGGCTGTGGTCAGTGATTGCACAAAATAATGAGTTTGGCACTTAAACAGTACGATCAACATTTTAACTGTCTGTGTTGTATGAATAGTTTAAGGTATTGAATAAGGAACTTTGACAACTCTGTGTGGTTCTATCATAGCCCCCCATATATTTTGATGGGAATTATAAAAGAGATTTATTTACTGAGGATGAATGGGTAGCAGCCTCTCCTTTTAAAGCAGCATACTTTGATCATCATTGTGGTAGTGATGACACTATTCTGTCTATTCCAGGAGCACTTTGTTCCTCATTATGCATTCTGAAACTCAGGGGGACAGTTATTGCTTAGGATAGTCACACACAGGTATCCACTTGACATGCAATGCTTTTATAACTTTAAGACCTTGTCTGCCCATGTTATTATAGAGAATTAAATAAACAAAGACATTCTATTATAGAGAGATATGGTACAGGAATAATACTACAATAGTTTGCTATTAAGAAAGCCACAACTTTTGAGGCAAATATTTGTTGATATATTTTTATGATAATATTTGCAGGATTCTTAGCCTTTTTTCATCTTTGAGGACCCTGAAAATTCTCCTATTTCTTTTACGCGCAGACTGCTACTTGAGCTCACAAACTCATCTTGAGAGAATTTGCTAACTATAGCCAAGTAAGAGTAGTGCTTCACAAAATCACCCACCAATTTGAAATCGCGATCTATTGAGAAGATCTGGCGACAAACTCAATGGGCTGTATCTATGGGCTAGTCCGTTCGTCGAACTCGTCGATTACGACGAAGCTACGCGAAGAGGAAGGACGGCGACCCATTCTTGAAGAGCCTAAAAGCACTGGGAGTGAATCCTGGAAATCTCACAAGGCATGCTTCGAGCGACGGCGGTTTTGCGCTGCCCTATTGCCTGGCTGGGATATGTAATTGGCGGCGGCCACGATAAGTGGTGTAGCGCCGCTTTGTCGAAGTAGCGTTCCGACGCTACCTTAAGATACTTACGTATCGGTTCTTATCGTGACATTTCACACATGCCATGGAGCTCCAATGGTTATACTGCAGAACCGGGTTTGGATGACCTGGAGAGAGCTTACATATATGCGGCCCGCGTCAGCAAATACTACACTTCCATAACTCATGGTGAATAAAATCCTCCAGACCATTATTATCATTAAGAAATATAAAAGTTTTATTTTGCTACAGATATTGAAATACCCGAAAGACAAAGGTTGCGGGTATATGATAAAGTGCCACAGTATCCTCCAAACTTAAAACCACCCAAGATGCAGAAGAGACTCAGGTACATGAGAGGACCAGAGGAAGTCCACACAACATTACAGTTGAAACAATATGGTGTCCGTGTAAGTCATATCCTAGTAATTATTAATCTTAATTGACTTTTTAATATTTTAATGCATACTTTATAATTAGCAAATGAGCTTCATTTCCCAAATCTCCAAATGTTTAATATTAAACTGGGTTTTTTTTATATAGGAAGATAGTAAAATTGTGTGTCTGTTTGTATCTTGTAATCGATCTGCTTAAATAATTTTGGCTCTAATTTACTTGAAATGATGTGCACAATTTAATGTAATAGGTGTGTTTGCTAATTTTTCTTAGGTTGCCTATTTAATAATTATGTTATGGTAAAAATGAAAATTGTTTGCTATTCAACATAAAATTGAATTGAAGAATATAATTCATAACTCTTATAATTATATCGAATTATGCAACTATAATAATGGATTAAGATATGCACATATTAAAATACTTTGAACATGTACAAATTTTTTGAAACGACTTTCACAATGAATATATAATGTTATATAATAAAAAGAGAAACCACTTTTTTGTGTTATTATAATATTCGCATTTCAGTAAAAAGAGAATGATATATAAAATTAACAATAATTAACAGGCCACTGGAGGTGGAAGAATGAAACACGAACATTTTGAAATGGCTCGCTTAGTTGTTGCCAGGAAATTAGACATGAAGCGTATGTTTGCCATCTGGAGAATAGATCCTCCATGGCAACCCATAACCAAGAAAGGACAAGGTCAGCGAATGGGTGGTGGAAAAGGAGCTATTGATCATTATGTAACCCCTATTAAATCTGGTAGAATCATTCTTGAAGTTGGTGGCAAATGTGAATATGCTGAGGTATTTGAGTATTTAATAATATATTTAATCTATTTAAAAAATTCGTTCTATGTGTTACCAACAAATTAAAAGGAAATATATTTTTTTAGTGGTGGACCTTATGTCTTAACTTTAAATGGGCTGTGTATTCATTCACCCATCTATGCATATTATCTATCATAATATTATTATAATCTGTAAAATTTTACTTCGATATATTTTACATAATATCACGATTATTGTAAAATGCCGTACACATAGTTTTATTTAGTAAACAATATACCACCAGAGAAACAGTACATACGAGCCGAAGTTACCGCACCATGTTATAATATAGTCGCCAGTTTACTATTGTAGTATCAAGGATCATGAGTGAAGTTGTCTTTCTATACCATACAAAGCTTCATTTCATTCAAGCTTACATAAGCATAATGCAGTCTTGTTCGAATTATGTTAAAGGCTTTATTATATTGAGTAATAGATTACTAGATCTCAGGCATTCGTTTCCACGGACTATGACCTTGATTGAAGTTGCGTTTTGAAGTCGTCATGGCCTAACGGATAAGACCTCCAGTGCATTTGTGTTGAGCGATGCGCCGGTGTCGAATCTCAGGCTGGTACCAATTTTTCTAATGGAATAAGTACTCAACAAATGTTCACGATTGACTTCCACGACAAAGGAATAACATCGTGTAATAAAAACCAAACCCGCAAAATTATAATTTGCGTAATTACTGGTAGTAGGACCTCTTGTGAGTCCGCGCGGGTAGGTACCACCACCCTGCCTATTTCTACCGTGAAGCAGTAATGCGTTTTCGTTTGAAGGGTGGGGCAGCCGTTGTAACTATACCTGGGACCTTAGAACTTATATCTCAAGGTAGGTGGTGCATTTACGTTGTGGATGTCTATGGGCTCCAGTAACCACTTAACACTAGGTGGGCTGTGAGCTTGTACACCCATCTAAGCAATAAAAAAAAGCGTAAACCGTGGGCTAGACAACTCAACTCATCTCATTCGCTTACGAAATTATTTTTCCGTACTAAAGGCGTAACATTTTGCAGGTACACGACATGTTGAGAATAATATCTGAAAGATTGCCTTTCAAAGCTGAGCCAGTTTCTGAAGAGATTTTAGAGCAGAAAGCAGCTGAAGAAAAATGGTTAGAAGAAAATAACAAAAATGAATACACAATGAAATATATTATACAGAACAATATGGGTGGCTGTCACAAAATGCTGTCTCCATTTGATCACAAATGGTATACGAAATATTTGTAATGTTAATGTTCAACTTAAAAATATAATTTGTAGTATGAATTAGAGATGTTTATTTTTATGTTGGCAACCCGATAAAATCTAACATAAAATAATATGGTGTATGATTAATATAATTGATGTTTAAAGAGCAGTGTAACCGTCATTTAAAATTAGTTTTGTACCTACTCGTGGTACTTAACATAAGCTTGAAAGTTTCATACCATTTGTGCCAGTGTGCTTTAAATTAAAATATATTTAGGGACTTTTAGTGTATAAATTGAATTTTAAAATTAATTAAAAAATAAGTATTTTTATTAGAGCCATACGATACACGGTGCAGGTGCTTAAACAAGTCTACCCACCGCACAAATAAGTCTTGTTTGTATCCGTTAAATAAAGGTTTTATTTAAATGGTTTTTTACTGGTGATAGGACGTCTTGTGAGTCCGCACGGGTAGGTACCGCCGCCCTGCTTATTTCTGCCGTCAAGCAGTAGTGCGTTTCGGTTTGAAGGGTCGGACTGCCGTTGAACTGTTACAACTGAGACCTTAGACAATTTGTCGAAAGATGGGTGACGGAAGTTACGTTGTAGATGTCTATGGGCTTCGATAACCACTTAATACCGGGACAGCCGTGCGCTCTTTCACCCATAGAAAAAAATACATTACAGATACCTACTACCATTTTATTTATTAGTAAAATTGTAAAATAAAACCCAGTGAATGTGTATGTACTTTTAATGGTTTATTAATTTTGACATTTGCCGAAAGGGTTACCGTGACAAGCCTCAATTTGCGTACATTTATATCTCGTAGCAATAATTTTATATTCCCTTAAAATATGGCAAAAATTCAACAAATACAGACGTCACAGCAAAAATTGCTACAGCAGATAATACTAACACTTTACCAGCCTTACTTATAAACTAATCTGTATTGATCAATATTCGTCACGTAAAAAAAATTATACTTCGAAATTTTAAAGCAAGGCTGTACTTGTCGTCCTTAACCTAAAGACAGAAGCTAAACAGCACGCTATTTTTAATATCAAGACTCAAATGATATAAATTTGAGTTTAATTGCATTAGAATATTTTTTGCCGATTAAAACTTTTTTTAAGATTCACATCAATTCATATTAAATACACAAGATTAGCTAATGTGTACTATTAACAGACACCAAATATAATATCATATTTAATTAGTGACATTCTGTGCACAGCTACCGTCCAATAAATTTTAAGCAACTACCACATTAATTATAATATATTCTATTCAAGTTGTCATCTCCACATACATATAAATTATATAACTTCATAACAATATTTACAAAGCCTAATTCTATCTTACAAATAAATGCAATTTACATCGACGTTCCACAAATAAATTAAACTGTTGATACTATAATACAAGCTTTACCTTTAATTAGTAGATTTAAAAAAAAACAACCGGAGTTTTTAATAAAAATAAAGTCCGTTTATCACATTATGATTCTGCGGTAGGCAATGTTGGCATAACAAAATTATACTTAAATATAAACAGTCAATATATTAAATACGTAATATAATCTAACGAAAAGATATAATTACGTATGAATTCGGTATTTTAATAACAAAATAAGAATTCCTATTCAGTAGAAGTTACAAATGTGAGCAAATAAATAAGGCCGATACGTAAAAAATACTTGACTAGTCCTGCGTTCCGTTCTACGTTAAAATTTAAAACATAAATAATATGTATCCTAAACACTGGCATTTTGCAGTCTTAATCACTAGGCGTTTTAAAGATTCCAGGGTCATTACATAAACGCACTTATTATTATTCGCGTACACACATATTTAGCTAAGCTACAGTTAAGATAAAGTGAGGTAGCATTTTTATATTCTAGTGGAAAATATATATACAGATCTAGAACGAATGCAGTGTACAGTACACTATGGGGAGTAAAGGAATGGGTTTAGCTTCATTCATTTTTTTTGTTGTTGAAAATATAACGATTGGTACCTATTGTTTTAACAATACAATAAGGTAAAAATACATACAATCTGCATTAGATTGAAACATGTTAAATTATATACCAATAATATTACTAAGAGTATTCATTATTCACTACACACATATTATTAGGTACGTTTTACAGGTATGTGCAATTTGTCGATGACTAGATTATATTAACGATAACATTACATAGTATTATTATAATATTTATAAAACAGTTACATTTTGATTGTATTATTTCGATTTCGATCACTGCAAGGATCCACATTAGACCCGTTTGAGGATAATACCTTGACTGAACAAGTTTATTCATACGCTTCGCTCAGATGTTCTAATAAAAACTTAAGTTGCCTTTTCATAAAATTGTTCTTGTGAGCGATTGAGTCGCATAGCATTTGCGTTGGTGCGACCGCGTTACCGTTGCTAACGTTCTCGTATATATGTTCATTGGAACATATGTTGTTGTTGTGCGTGTCAACAGTACTATCCTCGTGGCCGGCTACCCTGGATATATCGCAGGGAGCATTGTATACGTCGATTGGAGGAGCTTTGATGATATGCTGATATTTAAACGTAGACAATACCTGCCGGATCTTTGCAATGATCTGCTCTACTCAGGCGTTCGATTCCTGCGAAAAAGTTTTAAATACGTGAGACAGACTGCATATCCGTTTACAAAAACAATGATTTCTAAACTAGAAAACGTGACGCTACTTTCTATGCTAGTGATCAAGAAATAGCTGCACGCTACTCGTATGAAGAGTACATGTGTATGTAGAAACAAGTGACGAAGAGTGATGCTGCGTTGAAAATCTATTCGACTGAGACCTACGAGATATTTTGCGGGAGTGCGAAACGTTTATGATGTAAATACCTTATCTATAACTTTAAATAGATCGCGATACATAATAATACTGTTCGGCGTTTACGATAATCTATGTATATATATATTCGTATAAAATTTACAAATTACATTTTATAAAACATTACATACTAAAATCAAAAAGTTTTTTTTTTTTTTTTTAATATATTAAATGCATCAAAATTTCAGGCTGTATTATTCATAAGAGAGTAAACATCGAAGATATAAAATATATTAAATCGTGTTAGAACTGCGCCGTGATTATCGGTGACATCGATGCAAGCGACACAGCAACATCTACACTAGAAGCGTGGAGGGACGGTGTGAGGCTTTTTATACCTTGAGGTTGTGGAAATAGTGCATGATCTGATCGTAATCCATGTGGAGGTCGTCGAGTCCCAGGGCCTCCGCGGGGGGGTCGCGGCGCTCCTCGCGTGAGAACATCGGGTTGCCTACTATAGTGGCGCGTTTCACTTCGGGAGAGCTGCTTGCTAAAATCGAAAAATTTATTCTTCACGTATTGGAAACGATCTACAAAAGAACACGATTCATTTTTAACGTGTTTTTATTAGCCTTCTATGTTTTTATTTAATTATAACGAAATCTTTGAACGTAATTTTCCCTTACTTCAAAACGTTCAATTAACTTGAAAATTTACTCAAGCATTAAGGACCGATGACAAAACATTAATTTTTAAACTACGCTCTAACCGTTTCCTAATTAATATCAACAAGATAAAGAAAACTGGAAATTAATTTTATTAGTTCGATTTGCTATTAAAGCGTGCTTTATTAGTTTAAAATAGTATTTTTATTACGAAAGAAGTTTCTTAACAAAATTTACGGTGGAGGTTGAGTGTTAGAAGTCACGTAAGAACATATTGCTATATCTCTTTCATGCGACTGTCTTTCTCTTTTCATTAAATTAGATTACTTACGTTTGTTTTGGTTTGCAGACTCGACAAAATCTCCTTTGGGTTCCTTGGCTTTGTTCTTATAACGAATCTGCATGTCCGGTAGGCCTGCGATTTAAATGAAATTACAAAATCTTTTTCACTTGTGGTTTTTTTGTTTTCTACCTATTGCTTATAAACTTCTTTTTTTTTCGGGGTTATTCCTCACGCACTACCTCCGCCTGGGGAAAGGCGGAGGGGCGTGCCGGACTCCTACCGGCTGAAACCACCCCGGTGTCTCCCCACACGTGCGCGCAGGGCCGCGGGAATCGAAATTCTTCCGCAGCCCCACACTAGTGCTGGCCCGGTCTATCCAGGCTTCGTCTCCTGCACGGGGTAGTGAGGCGTTCAGCTACCCCGTGCATCGCCTCAGAGGCACGCGCCTCCGTCTCGGGTCCATCGAATAGGGGGCGGGGGCTTTCCCAAGTCCCTCGCCCCTGGACCCATTCATGGGGGGCGGAAAAGGGCGTTGTTCGCCCTTCTCCTGCGCCCGGTGCGCCTTCTGCAGCCGGGGAAGGGAGTCGAGATCTCCCTCTCCGGTTCCGCAGTTTCCTTCTGCGACATCATGTCCTCGCAGAAGGACACCACCGCGTCCCACGACTCTGCGCTTGTAGCCTTATATTGCTTATAACCTCACCTAACGTGTAGGCGAGAGAAAGCTCACGCGACTCAGCCTGGCAGATTTCGCTAACATCTGCTCTAGCAATAGGAGTACTTTGCTGAATCTACCCACCGGATCGGAATCACTCATTAATACAATGAGCTAGCGTAAAGTAAAAAAAGTGTTCTCACCTATTCCAGAGTCGTGCATGTAATCAGGGCTTTCTGGCTTCGCGAATGTTCGTCGGGAATCGTCGGTACCTCTGTTCAGTCCCACTATCTCTCTGTAGTCCTTGTTCTCCATGATCAGAGGAGCGTCGTTGTCAAATTCAAACAGGCGAGCGCAATCGTCCTTGTTCGTGAGTTTCTCAACCGGGTTATCATCAAAGTCATTTAAGTTTTGCATCGGATCCGAATCACGTTTATACTGGCTTATATCTCTGCTCGTTACGTATGGTGCGTCCGTTTTGTTTAGATCAATAATTCTGGGGACAAAAAAAAATTGTTTTTTTACACTACCCTCTTTATTCAATTTTCGCTGGTCATCGACATAATTAAATTAATTTAACGTTTTAATCTCGCGTTTATTATTTTTTTAAGCTATTAAAAATTTTTTTTGAAACGAAAAAAAAAAAACTGAAGTTATGTAAATGAAAAACGAGTTTCAAAAAGTTTTCTTAGGAATTCATCTTGTGCCTAAAGTATTGGAGGCACGAAAAAAACATGAAATAAAGTGGAGATTAATTAATAAACGTATAAATCAACGTAATTAAATTTAATTGTACCGGTCTGAGCGGCGGGCGTTTTCCGGGGATCTCTTCGTGGGTTCGTGTTCGCGTTCGTATTTTTTGTGATTTCTTGAGTGGCTTCGTCTAGCTGGTGGCATAACCGCTTCGGGCAAAATCTATATTAAAAACGATACAGGGTTTTAGAGGTAGCCGAAAGCTATTGCCGTTATTCGTCATAGACATACGAGATATGGCAAACGTGTTATAAAATTAGATGTCCCGTAGTTAGCGACATTTACCACGAAGCAGTAATGCGTTTCGGTTTGAAGGATGGAGCAGCCGTTGTTACTGAGATCTTAGAACCTATATCTCAAGGTGGGTGGCATATTTATGTTGTAAATGCCTGTGGGCTCCAGTGACCACTTAACACCAGGTGGGCTGTGAGCTCTCGTCCACCCATCTAAGCTATAAAAATTTTTTTTTTTCATTAATTGGTTCCATTAAGAGCTTTAGATTTAATTATCCCGTGCGCTGGCTTAAAAGGTTATACGTAGTTTATTCTTAACACGTTAATATAATTAAATGTCTATACCTAATACATATGTATAGAACGTTTTGACATTTGATTAAGTGACATTTATAAATGACATTTTCATTTTAATACTAAATATCATCGCCTAGAACAATCGAAAGATTTCCTAAAAAAATCATCGAAATCGGTCCAGCCGTTTCGGTATCTATATGGAACGTATAATATGCACTCGTCGACTTATTTATATGTACATAGATCAACTTACTTTGTTCGGATTTCGTGGGGGTACGGGCAACTGCGACTGTTGAATGGTAGAGGAGTGTCGGTGTGGCGGCACCGGCGGTCGGTAGTCGTCCGGATTGTTGGGCTCCGACCTGAGGACCGAATGTGTTAAATTATACCTTAACTATTAGAAAGGCACAACACAGTATAGCACAATCATGCAAAGCTGTTTTACTTGTACTGTGTACTTTATAACCACTGAATGAATGAATGATTGAATGATTTATTTTATTTCAGAAAACAACAACAGGTCCATATGTGTACATAGTATCATAGAAACATACTTAAAATTACCAAAACAAATCAAATAAAAAATACATTTATTAAAAACAATTAACAGTTGAACACTACTAGTTTGTCAAAAATATTTATAATAATACGCGGGACAGTTGACAGCGCGAAATTGTTTTTTTTGTTTTTTTCAAATTTGTCGGAAGTATATTTTTTTAAGCATCTAATCCTACAATTGATAAAATTAGTAGAGTAGATAGATCTCTTGGAAATTACATAAAATTATGCTCTCGTTACACCAAAATGTAGATTCGAATTTAATAATTTTAAATTATAACACTAAGGTATTTTTGGTATGCAAATCTTACATTTCATTATTTGTTAGCTATGTTGAATTGCTGACGGGACAAATTTAAAAGGCTCTTCTAAACTATACCAGGTGGATCTATATTGTGCATTTTACATGCGTATTAGTGTTTATAAATATTTAAATGAATACCGTGCTAAATTACTAATTAGCAAGAAATTTATGTAATTGGTTTGACTTATTTGACTTAACTTCATATGTTAATTAGTAAATAAAAACTAAGCAAGCAATATATAGAATTAAGCAATGGATAAAATAACTTACTGCCAATGTCCATCTCCAGACGATTGACGGGTGTGCCGAGCCGGTTTCTTACAGTAAGTCGTGGAATCGATAACTCTCGTGTCGTTTTGCGATGGCAACTCAATTGAGTTTGGATTGTCGAAACTTGTGACCATAACGTTGCCGTTATCTCGTATCGCGTCATCGGGATCAACGTAGTTGTAGTTTAGAGGATTAGCAGTGATCCTGATCTCTTGGTTGCCGTTGTCCGGAACCTGCGTGGAATTGCGGTTGGCTTGATGACGATTGCCACTTCTCTCCATCGTTGCTCTGCCTGAAATTTAAGAGTGTGAGATTTTAAATCTAATTCTGATCTGATCTTTTACGATGGTAATCACGTGGAATTGGAATGGAATTACGATGATAATCATACAAGCGAGCTATATAGATAATTAGAAAATTTCCAACCAAATTGCCATCAACTTAGAATCCGTGATTGGTTCTGGACAACCTCGATAAAAGTTAGGGCGTATTGCAAGTTGGACCACATATTCTTAGAACAATTATTATAGAATCGTCGAAGACTTAACGAATCTACGTATTCTTAGATATGTAAGAGTAAATTTATGTATTGTTGTTTAAAGTCCTAAGGCCCCCAGTTGGTAGGGCAGAGGGTTTTAGCAGTTTTCCTTATCACGACTGGTCTTAGCCTACACGCTTTACTTCGACCCTGATTAACCCGGTTTTCTTTCACAGTGCGCCGCTAGTTCTGCTCGGGGCAGCTCATTTTCCGCTTTCCCTGGGGTTCCACTGTAGGGCTTGCCTCGGGATGTTTATGGACTCTCTCCTCAGACTATGGCCTATTCATGTCCGTTTGTGGCGAATGATCTTCTTGTTAATTGGAATTTCCCGACACGCCTACAACAGTGGTTCGTTAGAGATTTTCTAAATCAGAATCAGAAAATACCAAGTATTTCCCGCAAACCGCGTTTGATCAAAATCTAAATCGGGTACGTTATCTTTTTGGTTACCTTCCATATTTCGCGCTTATACAGTATGATAGATTTTACCGATTTAGGTAGGTATGTATTATATAAATTTCAAATTTATCTATTTTAATGTTTTGTGTACTTACTGAAATTTATATTGTATATATTATCTATTAATTTATTAATTAATGCACCTAATACGTTCATTTCTGCTTCACCCTTTGTTAATTGGTTGAGAATACCTCAGGCACTAAGTCCGCCGATGTTTATTAGCATGGTTATTGGTTGGCTTATTGGCGTGCATGTAGTGTTATAAATATCTAATTTACATATTACAGACGCAGAAAGAAGTTAGCTCATAAAATTTAACAAACCACTGACCTAGCCAAACCCAATCATGAGCGTTTGTTGTGGATTCCCTTGTGGGCTTGTCCCTGGCCAGTCCGAGCGTAGTTCCCACTAGTCCTGCGACCTGCAACCGCCCCCCTTCAGCTAGTGCCGGTATCTTGCGGCACATACCCGTGCCTCCTTCTGGTCCGGCCGGCTTCAGACGAGAAGCGTACACCACACATGATACGACGAATACCTTGAATAAAAACATATTAACACGTTACAATTTCAAATTGAAGCTAACGTATACGTTTTTCGAAACTTATTAATTTCAGTATTGTATATTTTCATAATATTTGGAGCGTTTTATGTTCATTATACTCACTACTATCGCGAAGCAGAAAGCACCAAGGAGAACGTACATTCCTGGAAAGGAAAGGTTTTATTTATGGTATCATCACTACATAGTATAAAACAAAGTCGCTTTCTCTGTCCCTACTGTTTTTATTTATTGTTTAGATGGTTGGACGAACTCGCAGCCCACCTGGCGTTAAGTGGTTACTGGAGCCCATAGACATCTACAACGTAAATGCGCTACCCACCTTGAGATATAAGTTCTAAGGTCTCAAGTATAGTTACATATCTACTATCTACATACTATATCCGTATGTATGCTTAAATCTTTAAAACTACGCAACGGATTTTGGTGCAGTTTTTTTAATAGATAGAGTGATTGAAGAGGAAGGTTTATATGTATAATAATATCCATTAAATAGTGGAGAAATCAATAATAAATTACAGTTTCCGAAGCGAAGCGAGGGCGGGTCGCTAGTTAATGTAGGTATATATGAGTCGACTATTATCAAAGGCGGCAATCTGACTTTTGGACAATGATTGGTAAATCAGAAAAACGAATTATTGACTTTGTATTCCATTGGCAGTCACAAAACTCTTCGGAACGACATCTTAGATAAATAACAGGTTAACTATTAACCTTTATTTAATGCAGGTTTTGAACCGTATTCTTTGAAGGAGACGATTATATTCAAATAAATCTGTATTGACATATCAATAAATTTTTTTTGTCCAAATGCACAGATTGCCACCTTTGATAATAGACGACTCATATATGATGTTAACTGTATAATTTTTATTTTTTATTGCGGATTCGCTCACGCTCTAAAGTAGTATTTAACTATATAAGTTAAGGTAATAACAGCAACTTATTATGTTCGGGGTTACCAATTCTGCCGTATCTTTCGTAAACGACTCCAATACATATGGTATATTGACTTCTGTCGGTCTTTTTTTCACCGAAATTTCGATTTTCAACCAATATTCCTCTTATATTCATTTAAATACCGCCATGCCTCGCCACTTTTGTTTTATTAATTTGTAATTAATCTTACGATTATTAAAACTTGAAATTGATCCCTTAATAAATGCACCATTACACCGTACATATTATTTGATTTTACATTCAAAAATTTGTTACAGGTAAGTAAATATAATAATTATCTGATAAACATTATACAGTGTGTGACAGGTAAGTAAACAACATTTATACCTATCTTATTCTTTGTGTGCCGTGAAATTTTAAAATCGTTAAAGTGTGCCGCGACAAAAAAAAGTTGAGAAACACTGATCTAGATAAATGCTTCAAATTGACATTTTAAAATATACTAGTGGTCCCGCAGTAGTCGAACTTCGACTATAATTAATTGAAATCATAAGTTTGAACATTATTATGGTTCTATTGTCAAAGACTATTATATTTCTATAGTGACAGATTTCGCCAAGAAAGATAAACAATCTTAACTTATTCTGAATTTAACTACAGACTTTAAGCAATAACAAAAGTGTGACAATAAACAAAGACTGTGTGTGTGTGTGTGTGTCAAATACATTGGTAGTGTATGTAATGTTTTCTTTATTGAGTTAATGTATTTTTAATGCATAATTTAAAAAATATATTAGCATTCTGCACTTCTTCTCTATATTCTCTATAAGTGTGGAAAATTTCATACTACTTCGTCAGCGCAATTTTCGTAAAAAGGGGTACAACATTTTTGCTTCACGTATTAATATATAGATTACCTATTTCAACCGGCGTCATGACGGTTGACTGATGTTGTCGGGGGTGCTGCGCGGGGTTGCTTCGGAAGATCGAATTGTAATGTTGCGCCTGCACTGTCGGCTCATGGTTGTTTTCGTCTTTGAACGGCGATATACCTGGAATTGTGAAAACACAGCTTATGAAATGACACAATTTTGTATTTATTTTGTTATTGGTCAGGCGGGTGGACGCGCTCACAGCTCATCCGGTATTAAGTAGTTACTTTAGTCCATAGACATCAACAACTTAAATACCAACCACTTTAAGACATGAGTTCTAAATCTCAGTTTTATAGTACAACGGCTGCCCCACCCTTCAAACCGAAACGCACCACTTCACGACAGAAATAGACAGTTTGGTGGTAAGTACTCGTGCGGGGGTGAACTATCCCCAACATGCGGGCTCACAAGCCCCCTTTTTTTTCGGGCAGGTAACCGAATCTCATGAGTAGACCGCGGGCACAAGGATGTTTTTAGGGCCCTACTCAATGAAACTCCCCTTACATTCTCACACCCAAATCCGATCTCTGCCCAGGGCTCGCAAAACGCCCTACCCTAACAGTAAACTTTCAGTATTTAGGTAACATTTCAATAAACAAAGTCCTTCAATTGCAAGTCAAGTAATACGTTAACTTTTTTTTTTATATTGCTTAGATGGGTGGACGACCTCACAGCCCACCTGGTGTTAAGTGGTTACTAGAGCCCATAGACATCTACAACGTAAATGCCCACCCACCTTGAGATATAAGTTCTAAGGTCTCAGCATAGTTACAAGGGCTGCCCCGCCCTTCAAACCGAAACGCATTTACTGCTTCACGGCAGAAACAGGCGAGGTGGTGGTACCTACCCATGCGCACTCACAAGAGATCCTACCACCAGTAATTACGCAAATTATAATTTTGCGGGTTTGATTTTTATTACACTATGTTGTTATTCCTTCACCGTGGAAGTCAATCCTGAACATTTGCTAAGTACGTATTTCATTAGAATAATTTGTACCCGCCTACGGGATTCGAACACCATTGCATCGCTAGATACGAATCCACCGGACGTCTTATCCTTTAGGCCACGAGGACTATTGAATGATTGATGAATTGTTAGTATTTTTTACCCTTCAACACGTCACTAAGGTCCGACAATCCACTTCGAAGTCCTCCTCTGGCCATAATATCATCGTTCTGCGGCGTATCCGGTCTCTGTGGTGCATCTCCCCCGCTGAAGTCGACATCTACGCTCGCAGCCGCCGTGGCCAATGCCCCAGGAATGTTTTTAATGTTAGCCGGAGTCTTTGCGTCACCTTTCCCGGGAAGCGCAACCCGTCGTATTGGTCCGGAACGACATTGTTCAGGCGTTAACAAAGTCACACGAAGAAGCTCACCGCTGCCTGAAAGTTTTTTTTTTATAAGCTGACATGGTGTACTTAATGAAATAAAACTATTAATGGCGTAGATAGCCCATTTGATGTTAGACAGGGCCAATGGGTACATAAATACTTGTTCAGTTTCTGAACGTAAAAATGTCAGTGGGCGACGTCCGCCATGACACCAAACTCACTTTCAGATCCAGCCGCCAAAAGCTACGCATCAATTTTATAGTTTTCTTATATTAAGTCGTTATTTTGTAATATAAAGGTTCAATAAATATTTCATATAAAAAATACAGTACAAGCTTAGTTACCATAACACAACAATATGTACTGCAATCTAATTAGGTACATTTAAGTAATGTTTAACATTAATAAGGCGTAACTCTTTTCGAGACAGACAATCACTAATTAGTAATTACACACTGTCAAAAAAGTTAAGTAATTGGTCAAATTACCTTCACCAACAGCAATCACACGTGGGTGCTTGGAAGCCAACATTGGCGCAAATGCCACAACTTCGGGATCTAGGCTCTCGACTAGTAAAAAGTAGTCAGATACGGCCACATCGCGAAGTGGGGTGTGACTTCCATCCGAATACTCGATATCAATGTCCAATAGACCTTCCTAAAAATTTTAAATGCAGAGTAGAGCATGCTGCGATGAACACCAAAATAAATAAATACAATGTGAAAAGCGGAACAAAATACGCGATCTCTTTCTGATGAAGTGTAGATAAACAAAATTAATAATTAATTATAATAATTTAATTGTGTATTTTAATTGGTACTATAACTTAAGAAACGCTGTCTGTGTAATAATAAAATTTGAGGATTAAAGGATAACGAAGCACGCGTTGTTTTATTTATTTAAAAATATTGTCGCGCTCTTAGATATTATGAATCCTCAAATTTTAAAGGATATCCAAGCAAGTGTTGTTTTATTTATTTGAAAATATTATCGCGTTCTTAGATATTTTTAATTTCTTAAAAGCGCTCTTTTATCTTTTTCTACAAGAAAAACATTTCCACACCTCAAGTAAAATTTTTGACAGACCTGATATTGTGCTGTTAATCGTCTCGTGACTGTCGTTTCGGAAACATATCCATTTTCTATAGCCGAGTCCGGAGAGATGTTAAGTTGAAGGCCAGATATCACACGAACAAGTAACCTTGAGATCGATACTTTGTCGTTACCAACACGGACTTCACGGACGCCGATAACACGACCTATTAACACGGACAGACATAAACTAGTCATTATGTTTAACAGAGTGTATTAAAATGACTAGACGCGTTCTCGACGGCTTCAGGATCAATTTGTAATTGATATTATGAATTAAAACTAAAATTTGTAATTTAAAACGTTTGTAATGTTTTCTAAGATAAAGAGAAGCCTATTCCGCTCTTCAGCCCATAAACTATCTCTGTAAGAATAATGTCAATATCAATTTCCACTGTTGCGTGAAATAATAATAAACCAACAAGGTGGCTTGTTTGTGATTGGTGAGAAAATAATTACATTATAAAGTATTTGAAATTGAAACTACTCTTACAGTTTAATCTCGCAAATTTATTGTTTTTGTTATTATTAATACATTTTTGACGTTTCAAAAACTGTCAGTTTTCTATGTCAGTCAGGTCAAGTCAGTTGTGCGCGAGATTAAACCGTAGAAACAGTTTTAACTGCGTTTACGAGTCGCGGAAACAGAAAAAGAATACATTATGATTTGCTGCATAGTATTTTTCTTTAGTTAAACTTTTATATTTATTCTATCACAAAAACTTTGATGTCGCAAAAGAATGTAACTAGGCTTAGGAATAATGTTTTTTTTTGCCATCGAAAACATTTGAGTGAACGACTCACTAGGTAGTGAGAGGCTATGGTTACTTTTAAACATCAACAATGTTACAAAGCAAATCCGCACCAAGGACTAAGAACTCTTTTTGAAACTCATCGGAAGAGTAACACGGGTATTTGGTGAAACAGCTACTCACCAGTTATAGGGGATAAGACTTGAACCTCTGTTCTGCCGGTACTCCGGCCCTGAAGAAGTTTCCCTCTTAACGTTGCGATGCGCAAGTCGGCGACACGCATCAACGACATCACGAGCTCGGTAACTTTAAGCCAAGTTCGGCGAGACACGAAATACGACACCCTTCCAGAGTCGTGATCTTTTGCAAGAAAACGAGCGTACACCTGTAAATTAATCGTTTTTGTATCGAAACTTTCGCTTATTTTGGGTTTATTAAGATAAATTTCTCACTCGTTAAGTGAAATAAAATAAATAAATGCTTCAAGACATACGTAATAACATCCGTTTGTTTGAATTTAAACTATAGAAACATAATATTTTAGTATTTAGTACAAGTATTTTAGATTTAGATATTACGATTAGAATTAAATGTCAGAACTAAGACTACATATAGCGGATAGTGAATAGAGAAATTTATATTTATTATGGGCAGAAAAATTACTAAGCATTGTGGCTGAAATAAAACGAATTACTAGAGGGTGCACGAATTTCGATTGTATAGTAGTATTAAAATATATAAGGCACGAGACAATCAGATTTTTAGATGTCATTCTATGAATCGATAATAATAATAATAATAAGAAACTTGGAAGTATAAAAGGACGATAGCTTTTTGCCATATTTGTTAGATTAGGATTTTTTTTTAAATACATCCCAAATATTTTTATATATCACAACATTTAGACATTGTAACAAACAACATTTTATGGCTGTAGATGGCGAGGTATTCCCTGAGCTCATAAAGTTTAGGAACTCATATTGAGACATGAGGTTAAATTTAAATGAATAAGGGAGCAGTCGTCTGTGCCCTAGAAAACGATCGGCTATTCGACGCGACGGAAACAAAATCTTAAGATTAAGCTATAAACACTTTAACTAAAACTAAAGAAAACGGCTCGTCAAATCCTAAGAAAATAAGTTTCAATGATCCCCACTCAACAGGCTTAAGCTAGGAAATTAATCCGCACTATTTACATACAGACTTTGAATGTGTTTAATAAAGTACTACAGAATAAAAAAAATCGATTTTTATTTCAAGATATTATTATTTCATAGCGTAAATAGTTTGTGAACACTTTTCAAGTAAGTGCGTATTTAATCAGAAAATTTGTTACTTGACACAAGCCTTGAAGTCTCAACTCGAATCTGCATACGTTTATATGATAAATAATACAAATAAAAAGCCTTGAGAGACAAAAACCTCACCTGCGGCGTATATCTTACCTCTACGTTGCTCTGCTGATATCTCAATCGACAAGAGCGTTGATCCGTCAAAGAGTTAGTGCCGTCAGATCTAGATCCGCCCCAGCCTCGAGCCGACAATGATCGTCGCTGTCTGTCTTTTGAACTTGCATCGTCAGACACCTTCCAACCTAAGGTATATTTTGTAAATAAGAATCCACACAAAAAAAACGCATAGACAATGAAATATTCAACATAAAAAAAACATAAAAAATGATGTATTTGACTATACTGACTAACTATTATGGAGGCTTTATTTGAAAGGTGAATCAAAACGTTTTCCGATAAGACTTCCACCAATCATCATTTTATTTTATTTATTAATTAATTCCAATCAGATTTTCTTGCCTTCGAAGATCGAGCTATCCTGATGGTGAATTTAGCATTAAGCTTCAATCACTAAGCTTCTTAATTAAATATGAATAAAAAAATTATATTGAATCCTATTTATCGTCATCCATTATTATTTACGGTACATTTCTTGACATATAACATAATATTAAAAAAACTACCAAAAAGAAATTATTGACGCTGGTTCCGTTTTATATAATTATTAAATATGGTTTTTTTTTTTTTTTTAATATGAAATACATCTTATGAATTATTATTATTAATTAGTAATACAGCGTAATACACAGTATTAAAATGTAGCATAAGTCATCAATTTACAAAAGACTAGAAGTGCAAACCATAATGCAATGCTAAAATATCTACCTTTAATTTGGGATAATCTGTTGTCATCCACGTCAATTTCTAGAGGATTCTCAGGCATCCAAACAGTGAACCTTGCCAGGCCGGTGTACGTTCCGTATTTCACTATCACGGACGCGTTCGATGAGCCACGGATTTCGGAGCCATCTACATAGACAGAGCTGCACGACGATGACACCTGAATTGAAGCAATGGAGAATTTTCATTGAAGCTTGCTAAAAAAATTATCTTTCCGCAATAGCGTTTTGGAACGAAGTTCCTTATGGGACGATTCGGAGGGGTACCCTAACCGGGAAAAAATGTCCGTAATATAAGTTTTTTATTAGTAATACACACAGTGTACGACTTAACTTTGTAATAACGTACAAAAAATAACATATTTTTTATCATTCATTGACCACGATCTCAGAGCGTTCGTTTGAGAAATACACTAACTCTTATGCAAACAAATGTGGGTTGTTGCGAAACCTCCAGTTTTATTTTCTTTATACCTTGAATAGAACTTAAAATTAATATTTTTGATTATAAGGAACGAAGTACCTATCCGGTGTCCCACGACACCATACATCTTTTTTATTTCTTTGACCATATAATTCAAACTGAAAAGCTTCTATAGGTCATTAAATTATTAGATTATATTTTGTCGCTAAGAAAATATTTGCGAAAGAAATTGCTTGCGTAATTCAACTTACCTTGAGAACACTCTCGTCTTCCGAATGACAGGAGCTCTGTAATGTGACGTCAGCCACTTGTCCCGCTTGAGAGACTATGAGCACCTTCATTGACTGTGACACTTGACGTCCAGTCAATACGGCTGTATTCAGTACTTCCCAATTCTGAGGACCAATTCGATTGTTGAACCAAAAATGAATTAGGCCAATTTTTTTTTATTGTTTGCATGGGTGGTCGAGATCACAGCCCACCTGGTGTAAAGTGGTTACTGGAGCCCATAGACATCTACAACGTAAATGCGCCACACACCTTGAGATATAGTTCTAAGGTCTCAGTATTAGTCACAACGGCTGCCCCACCCTTCAAACCGAAACGCATTACTGCTTCACGGCAGAAATAGGCGGGGCGGTGGTACCTACCCGTGCGGACTCACAAGAGGTCCTACCACCAGTAATTACGCAAATTACAATTTTGCGGGTTTGATTTTTATTGCACGATGTTATTCCTTCACCGTGGAAGTCAATCGTGAACATTTGTTGAGTACGTATTTCATTAGAAAAATTAGCAAAGAATGAAAACATTGGTTTTTTTTTGAGAGAAATAAATAATCCGGCTTATCGTTTGTTTAGCACACACGATTAAAATGTTGATGAGTCGTTGCTATATTATATTTACATTTTGTCGTATTCATATCATAACTGTCATAGTTAGGAGTCACGAGTCAGTGTGCGTTCGTCCTTCAGTAAATAGATATGGAGTCGCTCGGCCTCGCGCGGCACACCGCCCCGGGGCCCGGCTAATGGTCCTACGGTATTATTCAGATAAACTAATTGCTTTATAAATATTATTCCGTAACTTCATTATAGCGGCTGCCTCGGGACCGCACACGTTGCTTGCGCATTTAAATTGCTGGGTTCCTCCCAACAATCGCTTAATCTCGCCGCTTTCACCGTTCGTTTAGAACTGAATTACGTATCGTGGTGTGTTCGACAAACGAATTACACTAATTTCCCTTGTATGGATATACTAATTTTTTTTTATTGCTTAGATGGATGGACGAGCTCACAGCCCACCTGGTGTTAAGTGGTTACTGGAGCCCATTGACATCTACAACATAAATGCGCCACCCACCTCGAGATTCTAAGGTCTAAGGTTCTAAGGTCTCAGTATAGTTACAACGGCTACCCCCACCTTTCGAACCGAAACGCATTACTGCTTCACGGCGGAAATAGGCGGGGTGGTGGTACGTACCCGTGCGGACTCCCAAGAGGTCTTACCACCAGTAATTACGCAAATTATAATTTTGCGGGTTTGATTTTTATTACACGATGTTATTCCTTCACCGTGTAAGTCAATCGTGAACATTTGTTGAGTACGTATTTCATTAGAAAAATCGGTACCCGCCTGCTGGATTCGAACACCGGTGCATCGGTACATACAAATACACCGGACGTCCTATCCTTTAGGCCACGACGACTTCAACTTTGATGTTGTATTATTCTCGATAATCATTATATATTATAAAAAAGCTTTCGGTCCACAGCTGCACCTACGTAATGTCGCGTTGTTGGATACGTTACTTAGTAGTGGGATAAAACGTGTATTGCTTTCCATTGTTCAAATTATATTCATACCGATTTATGTCAAAAACGCTTGAGTGTTTTGGGCGTGAAAACTTAACAGATACATTGAACTGCCTTTACATTCATAATAATATTATCAAAAAAAAACTATTAATACAATTACTTGCTCTGTAACATACAACACAGTTCAAATTTCAAAAAAATATTGCTTGCTTCAATACGTTTTGAAGCATATTTTGTTCATATCATATCTGTTTTTAATAAACAATTGGGACAAGCAGTATTATTTTCGCAAGTTTTTTCTTGGTGTACTGTTTGGAACAAACGTTTATTCTAAGCCAGAGTGGGTTGCTATTTACTTATACATTAGATCTCATTGATCATTAAAAATATTGTATATAAAAACCTTTAAAGGTACTTAGATAAAATATGGAAATGTATTTGAAATGTGGCTCAAAACCCTCCTTTTTTGTGCGCTTAAATCTCGGATTAAGGTGATTTAAATATTAATTGAGAAAAGCAAAGGAAGCCGAGGCGTGTTGCGACCGGCCGCGCGACGTAGGCGACTATGATCTTTCCAGCCTCCATTAGCACGCGATAAAGTTCCCATTATAGCACTTCATTCATGCTAAGAGAGCACCATTACGCTTTAATCACGGCGATTTGTTACAATCATGTCTGCACTCGATATTAGTAACGTCCCGATAGAATTAGTTTAGTCGCAGAAAGATGTGATAATTTAAAACTGCCCTTTACCTTTTCACATCCTGATCTCGTAGCAACGCTCAAAATATATTCACATAAAAACAGTAACAGTATAAATATATATATTTTTAATGCTTATATGGGTGGACGAGCTCACAGCCCACCTGGTATCAAGTGGTTACTGGAGCCCATAGACATCTACGACGTAAATGCTCAGCCCACCTTGAGGTATAAGTTTTAATGTCTCAAGTATAGTTACAACAGCGGCCCCACCCTTCAAACCGAAACGCATTACTGCTTCACGGCAGAAATAGGCAGGGGTGTGTTACCTACCCGGGCGGACTCACAAGAGGTCCTACTACCAGTAAAACTAACTAACTAATAACTATTAAAATGCCAATAATTACTAAGAAGAAATGGTGCTGGTATCTAAATATATTTAATACTATGACCCAATATCCACCACCTCCAAAATATACCGTTGCTACCTTATAAGTTACAATTTATCAAAGAAATAAGCTGGTAGCATTTTTTGCGAGTGTTTTTTTAATCAAAAGTTTTCTTTCCATATCTCTCCAAGTTCTCCAACTCTCGACTTTGACTAAAAGAAATAGTTTGTAAGGCCATCTAGTTATTGTTATATCATGTTTTTTTTATATATACCTACATATATCGTATAAAACAATTTCGCAACATATAAAATATTATACCTTTGAGATCGGCAAAACAGCTTGTATATCATCTTTTTCAATATCCAGACGTGTATTAACCCGTTCGTGAGGTGGTTCAGCAGTGGTTGAAGACGAAGATATTATTGGAGAAACTTTGGCTGACCAGCTCAAACGTGCTGTACCCCTTCCAGATTCGCCTTCGGACCCCTCAGCGTCACCTTCACCTTCAGGCCCAACTTCCACCAGCCAAGTAAGTACTTCTTCCCAACCAGGACCTCCGGCTCCAATAGTTTCTTCTTCATCACTATTAAATATATTACAAATTGTATTAAAGCACAAAGTCGTTGTCAAACCAAAATCTGCTATGTGCACTTTTTGAGATTTTTACTTTTTGACCTTTTCGTATAGTTCACAGCCCTATCTACCGTATAAAAAAACTGTTATGTGTCTATAGCTTTAATATTTATCTATAGCTTTCATTTGATATAGTTCTTAAAAATTTACTATCATATAAAATTTTATACGAAAATATTTTTACTCGTTAATTCAAAATAGAGTTTTTGGACATAGCAGATTTTCGTTTGACAGCGACGACAAGTTAAATAAGTTAGATTTTATATAAAAGGTTTTCGAAGGAAATAAGTTTCGTAGGTGAACGCAAAGGGTAACTAAGTCGCGTCAAATCGATAGCCACGTACGCTAAGTCACTGTTGAACAACACACAGCGAGAAAACAAATTTTATTCCAGTAAACGTTGAAACTCAAAGTCTAACAATAATGGGTCAAAAGTCGTAACATCGAGTTTCATTAAGCATTACAACCAACCGCTAGATTTATTGCTCAGAAAATGTAAAGTCGTGAACAAATTGTGAACAACCCTAAAAAAGGAAATGGAAGGAGAGTTTATTACAAAAATTAAATTGAATAGGTGCTGTCTTCTACTGTTGAAACTGAATTTGAAGTTTATTGGGACGAAAATTTCAAAAAGTAACATTAAATCTTGTTAATAAATTTCTCGTGCTTCGTGGGAAATTTACATATCATTATTTAGTTGGTAAACACTAGAATTTCATAATCTTGCCCGATTTTATCAAAAGCTTTTTAGACAAATTAGGCTTTTAACTCAAGTTTCAAAGCAAATTCTGTTTGCTTTCCAGATTTGTTTGTTTATTTAAGCCGTCATTGAGACTTGCTGGGTGTGTACATTTTTATTTACTTCTATTGATGTTATCGTTTGAGTTATTTCCTGTAAGTGTATTTTGCTGCTTGACCCAGTTTCTTCGATAGCGTCGTGAATTGGTGAGTAGCTTCGGAAAAATAGAAATGGACTGGGTCCTTTAAATCCGCACTCCATATCTCGACCGGCCAATAGAATTCGCATGCAACGTCTCATTTTACATTTGATTCTTATAGATTAGTTCATTGATTAAATTTTGATGTATATTTTTTTGTTTTAAGCTAGCTCCCTGTAGAAAAGCATACTAATTGCCAATGCGATATGTTGATGGAACCTCGAATGATTACAATGGTTAATTCATGTGGTAGATTTTGCGTCTGATCTTTTTTAAACCCGTATCAAAATAATAAAAAAATAAGCAAATTACCATTTGGGTACACGTTGTCTGTGTCATAAAATTGAGTGTTCAATAGTCAGTAAGTAAGGGCAAGTAAGGTTTCATTGGCAAAGTAAACATACATCCCAACTTGTAGAAAAAGACAAACAATACTTTAATACCATAGATATTCATCGTATCTCGAAAAATGAGCAAAAAACGCAACCGTTTTACAGTTGCGTTATGTCCTATAGATATCACATGAAAAATGCCCTGACAATAACTAGACACCAGATAGATAAAGAGCTTGTCTGTCTATTTACGCACATGAAGCTATATAGCTTTTTAATAGCAATTAAAATACGTAACGTACTACATATAAACATTCTTAAAGCCTTCGCCTACTAAATATTAAAATTATTATCACTTTAAATAGAACGTAAGACGGATAGCGGCTGAGAAACACCGAAGAGGAGTAACTTTGAAAGTGTAATACGATGGAACTTGGCTAAATTCAATATATAGAAACGCATTAAGTTTGATACTCGTTTATAAAATCGTTTGATTTTTTGACGTTTGATTTTAATCAATGTTTGCGTTGACCTCTTTGTGTCTCTCCCGTTTGATCTAATAACATTAGTACATACAACTTACAAGTCAATATCGTCATCATCCCGCAGTGGCTGCTCCAATCTTGTAGCTGTGACAGTCGCAGAGCGCATCTTTACTTCTGAAGTGACAGCCCAGCGCGAGTTGGCAGCCGTAACACTTAGCAGCCTCAATCCCGACTTGACTTTCATTCTATGTCAATCAAATAATCAACCCAAAAATTGAAAAGTTAAATTGCAGTAAATTTCTTTATAGTATATTTAAAACTTAAGCACTTAAACAGTGCTATCATGGATGGAATGAGAAATGCTGACCACAGTAATATCGATTTGGTAACATTCAAAAGATGATTTAGCAATGTAGAAAAATTTCAGGATTTCTAAGTAGCAGGTTATTATTACTGCCCACCCTGGAGTTCTTATTAGTTCGTAGAATTCCATTTTTACGTCTCTACAGCGATCTATTTTCACGCCCTGACGTACCTACACGCTTAAACATTGTAAAACTAAAAATAGTTCGATAAATTCGTTTTACATAGGGCGGACATTCTTGAAATTCCAGTCGTTGGTAATTGAAAAAGCGCGGGCTGTGATATGGGAGGTAGGATAAACTATGCTACATTTAGGACCATGCTCGCTCGGGTCCTAATTCATATGATGGTTGTTTAAGTTTCGAAGCTGACAGTACTCCTAATGAAATTATGAATAAACATATTTTTCCTTTTATTTAATACCTAAAGATTATATTATAAACCTGCATTGGCTTTAAATCGATATGTGCTTAAATTCGAATTACGGAACATTAGTATTTCACTGCAGCTCTCTATATCTTGGAACTTATTATACAATTTCAGTACGTTCTCAAAAGTCGTCAGAATCCACGGCTCTATATAGTTCGTTGCTTTACTTTTAATATTGTAGTATAGTGTACCAAAATTTCTGCACAAAATTCACTAGATACCTAAATTTTTGAAAATATTTCCTTGTAGAAGCTGTAAATTATGTTCAGTGTACCGACCATAAATGTTCAAGCACGTGAAATACGAACCGCAAGTCTTATTCGCAGATTTTATTGTAGGTTATATAAAAAGGAAATCTTTCCAACATACATATATTTTATGTATATTTAAGAAACTGCTTGATGTTATATTTATGTAGTAAAAAGCCGTTCTAACTGTCTAAATATTCGAAATGTGTTCCAAATGGTTTCAGATTTGAGAGAAACGACTTTTTAAAATGAAGTGTAGAAGAGAGTCGCACTTAAAACACAGCTTTTTAATTCTGAATTAAATATGTGTATTGAATGACTTTAAAACCCTCAGAAAACATATGATAAATCACACACCCTCTCTCTATAAGGTACTTCGCTTCTTGAAAATGAGGCATTAGGAGAAGTGATTCACATTACAAATTAGTTCCTTTGGACCTTAATTCTAAGCAAAGTGTCACAAAAAACGTCAGCTTATTTAAAAATTTCTCTGTCTCTACGTTAATTCTTACTAATTTTATTGAAAGTTCGTTAATGAAACTTTCAATGAAAAGTTTTAAGAAGAAAGTTCTATAAACTCAATTTGTACATAAATGTCAGTAATCAATTTTATAAATTTTTTGACGGTAGTTAAGTGTTAACAACACTAAGATATTCATTTTAGCCTAAATACATCTGTCTTGTCCGTGACCACAAAAACAATAAACTATTTGAAATGTTGGAATCTATATAATGTATAATAAACGTTACGATTAAGACTAAAAATTGTGTGCGACTCGGAAACATTTTGGATTAAACAATATTATATTATTATTGAGGATGAGAAATAGTGAAACTAAGCCTTATTTCATCGACTTGAAATTGTAGCAAAACTTATAATTGGTGCATCCAGGTTGAGAGCACCCGGAGCTCTCGTAATAAAGTTATGAGTGCGGTCGACAGGGTCAACTTGGACATAAATGAGAAAATACCTGGTCGGCGCCTCATTCGTTTTCAACCTTTGAAACTTTGCCAATATTAAATTACGAGTGGCTTTAAAAGAAGAGTCTCTATGCGCTTACGTTAATCAATAGTCGTAATTTTAGGAAAAAGTTTTTGGTGCCAAGTAAATTTTTCGAAACCGTTCGCCCCACGCAAGCCTAAATCAAACATGAACCCAAACATCGACAGACCACGAAATAAATATACAAACATTAGCGTACAACATCTAAACAAGTTTTATATTATGAAGAGACTTTTCGGTGACAGCATTTCTCCTTGAACCGTTAAGTTGGATCTCAACATAACTCACGAAGCGACATGCCACGCTATTGCTTAATAATATATTATTATGACATTTAGACTTAGAAGTTCGACGACTTCTATAAAGTTTTACTTTTACTTAGTGGGCTACTACATTATTTATTATTTTCTTAATTATTGTACTGTTTTTTTTTTTACCTATTCACTAGTAGACTAGGGAGATACGCCCAGACAGATAGGTGAGCTCACGAGCTCAACATGAGAAAATTTGCTAACAGAGCAGTGCTTGGTAGAATCTAGCACTTCGGAATCGCGACCCACTGAGAAGATGCCGCGAGAAACTCAGTAGATTGTGTCTATGGGTTAGTTTGCTTGCCGAAATCTTGTTCGTTGTATTGGATATCTGAATTAATCTATTATATCAGAATTTATAGCATACCTGATGGCAACGTGTCCTATATTGTGAGAACTGTCACGACGAACAACAAAAGGTAAATGTATTCTAGAATGCGGATACAGAGGTGCTCGTGGTAGAAGGAGGGCTGCATCGCCGGCTCTTGCTTCTCTATAACCTGCTCTTGCACCCGCAAGAATCACGGATCCCAATGGCCAGGCTGGTTGTACTGAGACCCGACCGCACGTATCCTCTCCGGATTCACCATTGCCAGCTTCTGTGGCACTGTAAGCTAACCTAACAGTTCTTGGTGGTCTTTTTCCTTTACCGTCAGCTGGCCACCACGCTGCAGGAACTGTTAATTCAGCCAAGCAAGCCCCCTCTTCGCCTTCTGGACCACATGTGGCCGTTAACGATTTCGATCCAAGACTCGCATGCAATGTTATGCAAACACGTCGAGGTCTAGATGCTGCTCTTCGTGCACCTTCCCCCCCTGTGTGAAACAGTACACGTAGTACAGGCGAGTCTCGGGGCAGTTCTCGGAAGACTAAATGAGCCGAAACATCCAGCCTGTGCGCGGTCGCTTCCTGTAATTCAATCAAACTTGCATTCCTTTTCGGTGGCTCCAATGGATCGGGTACTGCATAACGCGCAGGAACAGTTTGTTTTGTGGAAAAAGGACCGTATGTAGCTCGGACTGAAGCCGGCGCTGAGCCTTGTAAAATCGTGAATCGATCTAGAGACAGCAAAGCCCCCGGTAAAGCCGTCCCTATTGGTTCAGGCGGGGGACCGGCACCGTTCCATCTTGGAGTGTGTTTCAAAAAGAACCCGCTGTCTTTATTTTCAAAATGAACTTCGACAGCTAATCCCGTTCCTGAAAAGAAAACAATCGTTAGGTTATTTATTTATTTATTCATCATCATGCACAAGGGTACAATGGCGGACTTAATGCCTGACGCATTCTCTACCACTCAACCAAGGGTGGTGTAGAGAATCCTGTGGTAGGTGCATTACTTAATGCGACAATATTCAAATTGATAATAATATTACATACATATACAAACACATATACGGTATATACATATGTACATATACACATACATATATGTGGGAATAATTAGATGTACCCATTGGCCACACCGACCTGACAGATGACAGATGGCGCATGAAGTAGGTATAAGACGTAAATTTTTATCATTATCATCTCAGAATGCGAATTATTTTGTATATGTATGTTCGAATAGTAAATATAATTATTGTAATAAGGCATTACATGCGCGCTTTATTCATAAAAATTGCTAATTAATGTTTTGTTCAATAAATTACCTAGAGAAACCCGGTCGTGTTTTACGTAGGTATAGCCTGCTATTAACCTGAACGCCAAATAAGTACACAAAGAAAACATGACAGAAATAATGCGCAAATGTATATGCCAATACGCGCAAATATATATATATTCATCTTTTAACTCTCTACCTACTTTTAATAACCTATAAATGAAATTTTTTTCGTTGCGATAAAGTACCAAAATAGTAAAATACGGAACAGGCTTTTTGCAATAAATACAACTTGTAAACATAAAAGTATTTTAACCTACAATATGTAATCGTACATATATCGCGCGTTAACTCCATAATGACACCAACAACGGTTAAATTGTAAAGAGAGTTCTTCAATGTTCCTTAGAAGAAATGACGTGAATGTAAAGGATAAATAACATTATAAGCCGAGGAGTGAACGCTAGAGTGCTTTCGTGTGGTTAGGGATGGCTTACGTCACGACCCCCTCAGACATCTTGTATGAAGTATGAATCGGCATTTACGCCGCTTTTTTATGTAAGAACCTTGCCGAAATAACTAGCTTTTATTGGTAAAATTTTTAAAAAACTACTAGAGAATGTTGTAAAAGCAATAATGCTACCAAAGTAAACACTACTTTATGTGGCCACTGCCTTCCTGACGGAGCGGTAAGTCATTAATTTGCCTGTACCAATTCACCCGTAAGTTAATAATCTACATAGTATAATAATTAAATTAAGCTTTGTATTTACCTAGGCGGAGACAATTAAGCGGTAACTGCCAAATTACCTACGTGCGGAAGGATTGCTTCATTTGCAAGGTAACGCTGGTGTTGAGTCACGTGCTCTTCGTATATATGAGGAAAGGGGAAAAGGGAGGATAATAAAACACATTTGCACGTGACTGCCTCAGAACAAAGAAAAAAACAGCAATATTTTTTTAGGCTTCAACGCCCTAAAAATATGGAATGGCCGAAAAGGAAAACTTATCCAAACGTGTTTATGTTCCTCGTTTTCATAAAACTGTTTATTTTCTGTTAATTAAATGATGACTTAATAAAAATTAAAAATGTTTACCTGAACGGAATATGAAAAGATAAAATAGTTAAGTACCAATTTCTCTTCTGTTTTTATACGGTTTTTCCAAGTATCTATTGTCTTTTCTAAAGTCAAAAACAAAAAAAAAGCTAAAATGTAATACACAAAATGATTCTAAATTTAAATGGTGAGGCGCTTATGGTCTAATTTCGATCATTGGGCGAATACTACTCAGAATTAAATAGCAAAAAACTGACCGTATTGCTTCGAGTCATATTTTTTCTATACTTTAATTTCCTACAGATGAAAGGCTGCCTTAGCAAAAAGAACTTCACGAATTGATATCGCTTTTTCCGATCGCACCCTCGGTGAAGAGGGAGGCGCTTCGAGCTATAATAACTGTCTTTGAACAAAATTTCTTACATATTACGAGAACTTTGGTCAACGTCTGGCCTTTTGTGGAATATAATATACTTAGAAAACTTTATATGTTTTGTTGGCAACATTCTGATAGGATAGTTGTCAGTAGATACTATCTGTGTGTGCGTTTGTTAAATCTTATATTGATTGTGCTCCATCTTTTTTACGTTTTTGACTCTTATATAGTACTTTAATATTGTGTTCGTTATTGTATTATTATGGAGTTTTAATTATCATTTCAGTGTGTGTAATTATATGATTGTTTTATTCTAATTTATTCCTATAGTATTTATAGCGATTCCTATAGATTCCTGTAGATTTATTCAGATGAAATATTAGGTTTTAACTATGAAATTGCCGCTTAGTATACACTTCATTGATATTATAAGTATTTGTGCGGCAATGCTACTGTGGCGGAACTTGTATTCCATAATTACTCATATTTTCATCGTGTTCATATTGATGTAAAAGATACAAATATTGTAAAAACAAAACACTAATCAGTAAACAAATAACTAGAATAGAAAATAGAATTTCATATTTTAAAATAAAATTCATTTGTATTTAGAATTTATTGCCATCCGCACAAACTATGATACAGTTCAAATGGTCAGTATTGTAAGACGGCTATTTAAAATATGACCTATTTTATATCATATAATGTAAAATATTATAATTTTTTTTTGGAAGAAAGTAATAATTAATCAGGTACATTATTAATTTGGTATACGCGTCAATGCGTAAACATGTAAAACTCACTATGCTGTTCCATTTTATTCGTCAAATTTGTCCCCTCAAATTAAATCATGTCGGGCTTGAGAGCTTTTCAATAAAGAGCAATTATAGTTGAGTAGGATGGGTGTGCCGCAATATGAGCCCACACGAGAACGAAATTTGAAGCATTCATCATCATCGTTTCATATAATACGTCGTCGACCATCATTAATTGAAAAGTTAAACAATAGAAAACATAATATTCGTCAATTAAACACTATTTATAAGGTTTATTTTCCTTTGAAGTTGTTGCGTGGGTTTTTTTTTTTTTAATTGCATTTAGAATAATTGATACACAATTGTGGGATTTAGTTACCTACGTTGTCGTATCGTTTGGTACGTGTACGCCGAGAATCACTTTAGATGATTATAGTATAGACCACGATTAAAGCATCTTCGAATCTTATATACTTCCTTTACATTCTATTTCTTAAAGATGAAACTTGAATTTTCTTTTTTTTTATTTTTTTTTATTTTTTTTTATTACATATATGTGTGGACCCATAATCTCCCAATACGGCCGGTCACTGCGGGAGAGTTCGACCAAAACCCCCCAAGAACAATTGTCAAAATGAAAAATGCCGCATACATTTGCACCCTCAACGTAAGATCATTGTCTTCTGTTGAGCTCAAAGCTGCACTAGAAGATATTAAGCATGATATAATAGGTTTGAGCGAAGTTCGCCGCCTAGGAGAACAGATAATCAAAGACGACGAATATACCTTCTACTACATTGGNGGGCTCGACGAGTAAATTAACTCCCAGACACAGCCCACTGAGTTTCTCGCCGGATCTTCTCAGTGGGTCGCGTTTCCGATCCGGTGGTAGATTCTGCGAAGCACGGCTCTTGCTAGGGTTCGTGTTAGCAACGTCATCAGGTTTGAGCCCCGTGAGCTCACCTACAAACGTTAGGGTTACGCTGAAATAGCCTCTCAAGACTCTCAGCTTAAGTAGGAAAAAAAAAAAAAATTATACGTGTACGCCGAGAATCACTTTAGTAATTATATAATAGTATAGACCACGATTAAAGCATCTTCGAATCTTATATACTTCCTTTATATTCTATTTCTTAAAGTTGAAACTTGAATTTGTCAGTATAATCTCTTCTTCTTTTTCTTCACCTTATCTCACTAGGTGGGGTCGGCATAGTTAATTTTTCTCTTCCATTCTCTTCTATCAGCCGTCACATCAACACTCACTCCTCCCTCTCTCATATCGTCATTCACACACTCCATCCACGTCTTCTTTGGTCGACCTTTTCCCCCTCTACCTTGCACTACCATTTCCATACATCTCCAAGTCACATGCATCTTCTCTCTACGCATCACATGTCCATACCACGCTAACCGTTCGCTCTTTAATCTACAAACAGCAATGCAGTAGATTTATTTTAAATTGATGGGAAGAGCAAAAAGCGATAGAGAGCTCTATTTTTTTAATTTTTTTTTTTAATAAGCTCACAATACACGTCACAAGCTAAAAATATACATAAAAAACACAAGTAAAAAGGAACAAAATCTGGCTTGCAATATAGCTTGTGTTTCAATGAGCGTAACATGCACTAGCCTAAGTGTATTATATTCTATGACACCAGCTGCGTTTGAAAAGTTAGTCAATGCAGACTTTTTTTTTTATTGCTTATATGGGTGGACGAGTTCACAGCCCAACTGGTGTTAAATGGTTACTGGAGCCTATAGATACATCTAATCTAATCGTAAATGCGCCACCCACCTTGAGATATAAGTTCTAAGATCTCAGTATAGTTACAACGGCTGCCCTACCCTTCAGACCGAAACGCATTACTGCTTCACGGCAGAAATAGGCAGGATGGTGGTGGACCTATCCGCGCGGACTCACAAGAAGTCCTACCACCAGTAAATTACTAAATACCGTTTTAAAAACATATTTATACGAAGACAAAAAATGATAAAAAACTTTATACACATAAACGCCTACGGGGATTACTTTCCAAAGATAATAAATTTCCAAATTTAATTTGTATGTTTTTTTTTGGTTCCCTAATTGTTCGTACTTCCCGACTTTGCGTAGATAAACATACAAACTTTCATAAATTGTTACAGAATAAAGATAATAAATTAATTGATGAAAAGGAAATAAATTAATATACAGTAAAATAAAATGATTTGCTTGACTATTAGAATCAGCAGACTGCTGGAACTGCCTCGAATATCGTATTGTAAAATGGCGTGGGGCGTAGGAGCATTATGGCAAAAGAATAAAAATAAGTCATTGTTACAAAATATATTAATTGGACTATATTCATAATTTCTTGACGCGAACCTATACGTTGAATAAGTTCTTAACAAATTGTTTTCTGTTTTTA